ACCAGAAGGAGAAGCAGGTTCTGCAGGAGCTGAACAAGCACATGGGGACCAGGCTGCAGCCCCTGAGCAGAGGCCTCTTCTGACGAAGGTGACGGAGAGTGGCTGGAAGGTGGCCCCAGAGATCAGGGCGCCCCCACACTGCGGGTCTCGGTGGCCACTGCTGCCCTGTGGGGCAGGTTCCACTCCTTCCTTTGTTTAGGACACAGTTGGTCTGCTATTTCCAGTGTTGTAAATAAAATAGTTCTCAGCTCTCAGATCATGCAGAGGTGGGGCATGGGAACCGCCCCTTCCCCGGGGCTCTGCCCTTGGCATAGGGGCATCTCTCCCATCTCAGGACAGATCAAGGAGCCCAGGTGGGTGTACCCTCCCTTGAAATCCTGCTGGATTCAGTCCCACCCAGCCCCCACAGGAGCAAGATGGCTGCAAGGCCCGCCGACCCACTCCCACACCGGGGGACCCTCAGCTCTTCTTTGGCCATCACCTGCCCTAGCCCTTCAGTCCCCAATTCAAGCATTTGCTCGTAAGTCATTCCCGAGTCCTCTGCCCGCATGGCAGAGCTCTGACTGCCACATCCCATCCTGTCGGACAGCGTCCTTCTGTCAGTCCTGTTCAGTCCTGACTTCTGGACAGTCAAGTAAACCCAGGGGTCACCCAGAGCCTTCTCCAGAGCTGTGCCTAAGCTCTGACCTCGCAAGTGGGGCAGATGTGGAGGGGGCGGGCACTGAGCCAACTCAGGGCCTGGACCTCAGGCCCCAGCACTCACCACGGTGCCACAGACTCTCCACTCGCCTGGAGCTCCAGACGAGTCAAGGCAACAACACACGGCCTCTTGGAGATTCTAAAACTCAGAAAACCATGGTTCTAAGAACTTGGTTTCTCCCATATGTTGATTTTAGAAACGAAAACGCATTTCCCATTGGATTTGTGTCCTGAGCCTGGACTTCCACTGGCTCCTGGGGACACGGGTCTGTCATTTTCCTGAGCTGCTGGCTGCATGTGACCTGCTTGTAATCATTAAACTTGTTCTCAGTTTAGAGTTTAACATGGCAGAGACCGAAGATAAGCCCCCAGCGCTCTCTGCTCTCTGGGCCCTTTGAAGGGACTGAAGGGTCCTGAGACCCGCCAGTCCTGCCAGCAAGTGTTCAGAGGCTCTTCACCTGCTACTGGAGCCAGCCCCCCACAGGACCTCTGGTCATGTCTGGACACAGGCGACTTCCTCCTGTGTTCAAGTCTGAGCAGACTTGCCCATTTTCTACTGGTTTTTCCTTTTTTCTTATTAATTAGATGTTTTAACATGTGGTTGTAAACAGCCCTTGAATTTTAGTACAGAATGTGAGCGACTGTCCTGACCTGAATCTGAGAGAAGGCCACGCCACGGTCCATCAGCAGCCAGGCCATCTGCTGGCCACAGGGCGTCTTGGTTCTGTCTCGTTCCACTGGTTGCCCCCACCCTCCACCCTCCTCACCCAGACACATGCTGCCTGGTCCCAGTTTAGTTCAGTTCAGTTGCTCAGTTGTGTCCGACTCTTTGCGACCCCATGGACTGCAGCATGCCAGACCTCCCTGTCCATCACCAACTCCCAGAGCTTGCTCACACTTATGTCCATCGAGTTGGTGATGCCATCCAACCATCTCATCCTCTGTCATCCCCTTCTCCTCCTGCCTTCAGTCTTTCCCAGCATCAAGGTCTTTTCCAGTGAGTCACTTCTTCCCATCAGATGGCCAAAGTATTGGAGCTTCAGCCTCAGTCCTTCCAATGAACATTCAGGACTGATTTCCTTCAGGATTAACAAGTTGGATCTCCTTGCTATCCAAGGGACTCTCAAGAATCTTCTCCAGCACCACAGTTGAAAAGCATCAATTCTTCAGTGCTCAGCCTTCTTTATGGTCCAGCTCTCATATCCACACATGCCCAGTCCTAGAGCTTCCGGCACATCCAGTGTCCTCTGAGCAGAGCCCCTGCTCCAGGTGTTGCCTGGGTTCCCAGCCCTTTACTGTCCTAGCTGTGTTCTAGATTCGCCTCCCAGCCTCCAAGCCCTGAAGGCACCTTAGAGTTATGCCAGGTCCACAGGGCACAGGCAGTGCCTCCTGCTTCATTGTCCTTGGCATCTTGGTGAGGAGAGGCCCACCAGCACCCCCACCAGGGCACTTGGCACAACCATTAAAATTTCCTCTCCTCACAACACTTCTACCACTAACTGCTCGGAGCCAGTGCAGCCCCCCACAAGTGAAGGGCTCAGGCCCACAAGTTCAGTTCAGTTCAGTTCAGTCGCTCAGTCATGTCTGACTCTTTGTGACCCCATGGGCTGCAGCACTCCAGGCTTCCCTGTCCATCACCAATACCTGGAGCTTGTTCAAACTCATGTCCATCGAGTCATTGATGCCATCCAATCATCTCATCCTCTGTAATCCCCTTCTGCCTTCAATCTTTCCCAGCATCAGAGTCTTTTCCAATGAGACAGTTCTTTGAATCAGGTGGCCAAAGTTTTGGAGCTTCAGCTTCAGCATCAGTCCTTCCTAATTTCCTTTAGGATTGGCTGGTTTGATCTCCTTGCAGTCCAAGGTACTCTCAAGAGTCTTCTCCAACACCACAGTTCAAAAGCATCAGTTCTTTGGTGCTCAGCTTTCTTTGTAGTCCAACTCTCACATCCATTCGTGACTACAGGAAAAACCATAGCTTTGACTAGACAGACCTTTGTCAGCAAAGTAATGTCTCTGCTTTTTAACATGCTGTCTAGGTTTTTCATAGCTTTTCTTCCAAGGAGCAAGTGTCTTTTAATTTCACGGCTGCAGTCACTGTCTGCAGTGATTTTGAAGCCCAAGAAAATAAAATCTGTCACTGTTTTCCATTATTTCCCCATCTATTTGCCATGAAGTGATGGGACCAGATGCCATGATATTAGTTTTTTGAATGTTGAGTTTTAAGCCATGCCATGATCTTAGTTTTTTGAATGTTGAGTTTTAAGCCAACTTTTTCACTCCTCTTTCACTTTCATCAAGAGGCTCTGTAGTTCTTCACTTTCTGCCATAAGGCTGGTGTCATCTGTGTATCTGAGGTTATTGATATTTCTCCCACCTCCCATGGACTCCCATGGGCATCTCCCAGGCCCAACAAGTTGATGATGCCATCCAACCATCTTATATGGCCTCCCTACCAAGGCTATTAACCCTCTCAAGACTTCCCTGGTGGCCTAGCGGCTAAGATTCTGAGCTCCCAATGCAGGGAGCCCAGGTTTGATCCCTGGTCAGGGAACTAGATCCCGCATGTTGCAACTAGAACTTGGTGCAGCCAAACAAATAAAAATAAATATTTTTTTAAAAAATGCCCTCCCACTCTAGACCAGGATACTCAGTATCCAAATTCACCAGGATCAGAGGTTCCCATAACCCTCCCCATCCCCCAGGTTCAGTAATTTGCTAGAATGGTCACAGAACTCAGGGAACACTGCTTTATTGTAAAGAACACAGATGAACAGTCAGCTGGAGACGTGCATAGGGTGAACACAGGAGCTTCTGTCCCCTTGGAGCGGGGTGTGCACCGCCTCCCAGATGTTCACCAGCCCGATCTTCTAGTGGATTTATGGAGGTTCTCTTACTGAGGCATTGATGGATTCAGTCATTGGCCATTGGTGATTGACTCAACTTCCAGCCTCCACTGCCTCAGGTTGGGGGTGGGGCTTAAGTGCCAACCTCCAATCAGGGTGGGCTCCTTGGACAACCGTCCCCCATCCTCCTGAAGCCCTCCTGGGGCCCAGAGTCACCTCATTAGCATAACCTCCGGATTACGAAGGTTTTAGGAGCTGTGTGCCAGGAACCAGGGCAAAACCAAATACACATTTCTTACTATGCCACAGTATCACAGCACGCAAAGCCCCCACCTCTGGGCCCCAGCACCACCTCCCTGGCAGGCCCACCCCACTTCCAGGGCCTACTGAGACTTCTTCAGCTGCCCCGGATTGGCCAACTCATGAAGGCGATCTCACCCCATGTCCTCAACGTTGACCTCCCTTCCCAGAGGCCCTCCCATTGGTGGCCTTGCCACATTCTTACAGCACTGGACTCTCCCAGATGCAGGAACATATTCCCTTCATCCTGGTTGACCTGCCAAGGCCAGGTGTGCGGTGACAGAAAACATGCATGTTAGTCTTCACGCTGCCCCCCGCCCCAGCTCCTGACAGGGATCCTGAAACCTTTGTAAATTCCCACATGATGATGAGGTGACTCTGGGTGGATCCTGGATGAGTCTGGTTGCTGGGAAGGCCAAGCAGGATTAGAGCCTCGGAACTTCCCTGGAGTAGGGAGGGGGCTGGAGATGGAGTGACCAGTGGTCAGGCCCATGTGAGGAAGCCTCCACACCATCCCAGCCTAAGATGCAGGGGGTCCAAGTCGGCAGACGCATCCAGGCTGGGAGGTGACGCACCCCACTGCGCGGGGACACAGGTGAGCCCTGGATTTGTGACTGGTGTCTGAAGTGGGGACAGTCCTAGGAGACTGAGCCCTTGACCTGAGGGATCTGACCCCATCTCCAGGCAGGTGGTATCAGAATTGAGCTGAATTGCAGGACACCCGGGCAGGATCACGGGGACCTGCTTGTTGTGGGCAAACCCCACACACATTTGGTGACAGAAGTGAAACATCCTTTGTGACAGTAGGGGAGACTCACAGGAGAGGCAGACACCTGAGGGAAGGGCTGGGTTTTCCCTGACTCCAAAGGCAAACAAAACAGATTGTCCAGTTTCCCGGGCCAACCAAAGATGACGAGCTGCTGTCAAACCTCTTCCCTCTATTGAGTTAACAATTATGTTGAGAAGTGAAACCAAAGTGAAAAGCCATGTGAGAAAATGTCAACATGAATGGGAACCCCCTCACGGTCCAGTAATGAGGACTCAGCACTTGGACTGCTGAGGGCTCGGGTTAGCTTCCTGGTTGGGGAGCTGAGATTCCACAAACCGTGGTGAATTTTTTTTTTTAAAGAAAATGTCAACATGAAAATACGGAAATTGGGTCAGACCTTTAATGGCACATTGAACAAGATGTGCAGATGTCAGGACACGCTGCACCCAGGCCCTTGGCGCTCTCGCCACTGGGGAGCTGCCTGGGGTGCAGTCAGCCCAGCGGGGGAGCCTGCGTGCAGCTGGAGGGCAATTCCAAGGTCATCTCTTCCTTTGAGGAGCCTTCTGGCAACTGCCAGTTCCTAAGACGCAGACCCGAGCAGAGCTCCTGCTTGTGTGGAACTTGAGGAAAGAGGTAACATCCCCAAAGGGGCCAATGCAAACATGTATAATGCTTGCAAAGGGCATTTACATGGAAATGATATTAAAGCATCCAGGAGGTGCAATTCCACCAGAAAAATATAAAAGAGCCAAAAATGGAGTAGAGGTATCGTGTCCCAATGGGAGAGTCCAGACTGGCTCAGATGGAGGAGAGTCCCCTCAACCAGCTTTATTGCTTCACTTCAGGGGGAGAGACTGCTCCAGCCAGCCTGTGGCCCTGCCCTCACCAGATGCCCTGCCCTCACCCAGACACCCTGCCCTCACCCAGACACCCTCACCCAGATACCCTGCCTTCACCCAGACACCCTGCCCTCACCCAGATACCCTGCCCTCACTCAGATAGGCTGCCCTCACCAGACGCTCTGCCCTCAACAGACACGCTGCCCTCACCCAGGCACACCAGGCACACGTCCTGCCACAGCGCCTTCCCCGGGCACCACATGTGTGACTGTGTTCATGGCATTTGTGTGGCTGAACCCATCAGCCTTTTCTCTCCTGGCTCCTGAGCCCCGTTTCCTGGTCACATCCCCGTGTCCCCTGGTGATCCTCACAGCCCTGGGTCCAGGAGCCTCAGCTGCCCCACCACCCGGGAGAATGGGGCCTGTTGCTTACCTGAGCCCACCATGAGGTCACGGGCCTGGCGCCTGTGCCGGCAGGACCCCGCTGGACACCATCCTGAGGGGAAGGAGGGTGTCTGCTACTGCCCTGGTCTGGCTCAAAGACGCCACGTTCAGGTGTGTCTCACCACCAGGCCTCGGTGGGGCCCTCAGAGCTGGATTTGTCCTGGGCTCTCCCAGGGCCCCCCTGCTGGGCGGGACAAACGACCCCCGCCTCAGGCTGCTCCCCTGGGAGGATGGCACGGGGTCCACACTCAGCCATGGCAACCAGGACCGAGACTGCCGCGGTTACCTCCCCAGCCCGCCCCTGTCGCTCAGGAGCTGGGAAGGCCTCTGCAGACTCCCGCTGCAGCCACCGGCCTGACAGAAGGCAAGCAGGGGTGACCCAGGCCCCAGGGTCCTCCCGCCTTGCAGGCTCAGGAGACCGGGCCGGAGCCCGGCCCAGACTTACGTGCTGAGGGCGGCCGCAGACGGGCCGGTCACGTGCTGCGCGGTGCTGGGCAGGAAGCTGGCGGCAGGCGGGAGAGCAGTGGCAGAGACCACCAGGGGCCACACGGAGTAACCCAGAGGGGAGCCAGGCGCAGGCATGGTCGGCAGCAGGGCTGGAGGTGCATAGCGGTGGTGGTGGTGGCGGACGGAGGGCGGCCTCTGGGTGGCCGGGCGGGCGCGCTGTGCATCCGCAGCAGGACACACAGCAGAGTGTTTCAGCGAGGACGCCGGCTGCGCCCCGGCCCCCTCCCTCCACATGGGCCCTGACTCAGGGTGCGGTCAGGGTCAGAAGTGGTGGGCAGGGGCGGACCAGGCTCCCACAGAGCTCCTGCAGCTTGGGGGGCAGCTGTCTGGGCCTGGATGGCACAACCTGTCCTCCTCCCCTGGGGTTGCCCTGGGGAGCACCGGGGGCTTCAGGCAGGAAACACAGACCCGGAGCCAGAAACACATGAGTTTCTGGAGGCAAAGCCACCAGGTCCTCTGGTCTTGGCCTGGGCGTGGAGCCTACCTGTGGGGTGAGGTGCGGCGGGGTGGGCGCGAGTGCTGGCGGGGGCAGGGCTCTGAGCATCAAGGCCTGCATGAGGACCTGATGCATCTGCGCGTTCTGCATCAGCATCATCTCCACCACCTCTGTGTGGGGGGCGGGGGGCATGGAGGGCTGGTCACTCAAGTGGGCGGCCGCGACCCTGCCGCTCCTGGAATCTGCCACTGCCTGTGGATCTGCAGGTCCCATGCAGCCCCTCCTGCTACTGGACTCCTCATGTAGACCTGGCACATGGAAACTTAGTTTCTCGACCAGGGATCAAACCCACACCCTCTGCAGCAGATGGGTGGACTTTTAACCACTGAACTGCCAGGGAATTCCCCACAGTTTTAAAAGTAAATTAATCATTTATTAATTTTTTTTTAAGAAACGCATCTGGAGATGGGGCAATTATCTTGGATTATCTGGGTGGTCCTGATGTTGTGAGAAAATAACTATCACCCTACACTTGAATATCCAGCAACAACATTCGTGTTTAAGAACAGGCGGACATCAGAAGAAAGTGAATGCTGAGGGAGCTTAGGAGCCTTACTACAAGGCCTTGTAAAAGACTGATGACAGATGGGGACTTCAGGGGGCGGTCTCCCCAGATGACAGATGCAGGCTCCCCAGATGATAGATGGGGACTCCAGGGGACAGTCTGAGACACAATGAAGAGTGGTTAATTCAAATGTACTTCTGTATGATGATATACCAGTGTCTGTTTCTGAGAAGGTTTTCTAAAAGGTAGAACTGGCATGGAGAACAGTCATGAGGAGTCGGGGCAGAGTGGATGCTACAGAAACTGACTTTAACTTCATACAAAATAGCCCAAGACTTCTCCAAAGTGGTTATTAGAGTACTTTCGAGATTTCCTATTTTTACATTCCGTATTTGATCGAGTTGGGATTTGTTTTGGTACAAAGAGTAGGGTAAGGAACGTGACTTTACTTTTCTGAATAGCTAGCTACTTACTTGTCAGGAATCCTCTGGCCCTTATTAATTCCTGAATATTCAGGAGTTAAGAGGAGAGGCACGCCTTTCCCTTTCCCGGGGCCAGAGGAATCCAGGCATTTCCTTTGTCAGTTTCTCATTATGGTGATAAGTACCCTCTTCTCTCTTTAATAGGGATCGCCTTGTGTTTTGTAAATCTGGAATTTTAATCTTTATCTTTGCTGAGAATAACTACCTTGTAAAACAGTATATATGCGCATGCCATGTTGATTAAAACACCTTTGCTCCATTATGTCTTTCTTTCTTTCTTTCTCTTCCTCTCTTTCTCTTTATCTCTCTATTCCTGGCTGATTCCCTGGAGCACTAAAGCCAGCTGTGTAACCCAGGGAATATTAGCCTCTTTCCTTCTTTCACTTTCTCATTGTCAACTCCAGGCCACCAAGTTCCGGTCCATTAAAGGACCAACACTTACTGACTTTCATTTTTACCAATGATTTTAAATGCACTTTTTTAAAGCACACAGATACTTGCATGCGTGCAGTATGCACATATACACACACACACAGTGTGCTGGCTTCCCCTCTAGGGCCGGATAGTCACTAAAGTTCATCTGGAAAAACCGAGGAGGGTGGTGAGGAGAGGCCGGTGCACGGTTCTCCCTGCACCTGCAGGGCACCTTCCTATGGGTCTCGGTGTGAGCAGCCTCCCGAGGAGCTGCAGACTGGCATGGGCCATGTAGCATGTACATGGTGGAGCTATGGTCACCAGGACAGGGCTGAGAACATTCATCAGGTGATTCCATACATAGGTCTGCCTCCAGACTCTCATCACTGCCCGTCGTTAGGGAACCGCAAACTACAACCACGGTGACCGACCACCCCCGCCACTAACCACCATCCCCACTAAGTGACCAGCACCCCCACTAGCTGACCATCAGCCTCACTAACTGACCATCACCCCCACTAGCTGACCATCACCCTCACTAACTGACTATCACCCCCACTAACTCACCATCACCCCCAGTAACTCACCATCACCCCCGCTAACTTACCATCACCCCCGCTAACTGGCCACCACCCCCACTAACTGACCACACCATGTGCAGGAGAAGATGTGACAAACCAGACCTCTCACATGCAGCACTTTTAAGCACACACTTGCCACATTTCAGCTGCTCCAGTCCTAGGTATGTGCCCAGGAGAAATAAACACTCAGACTCAAATGTGAATGTCCAGGGAGTTGTGTGGTGATACCCAACAACCCCAGCTCCATCATCAGGTGAAAGGATCACAAATGTGTCCATCCACGGGGAGGACTGTCACTTGGCAATTTCAAGGAGCCATGGTTTGCTGCACCCAACAAGAGCGATGAGTCTGAGAGCAGTGCTGCTGAGTGAAAGAAGTCGCCCAGAAAGTGCACACTGGGTGATTCTACTCAGACCAGAACAGAGGAGACACAGATCAATGCCTAGTGGCAAAGCAGGCAGGATGGCGAGAGACAGGGCCTGAGGTGGTGCCCATGTTCACCACCTTGATTTAATGATGGGTTCACAGGCATGTACAGGTGTCAGAACTGTCAGATTGTACACTTTAACCACATGCAATTTAGTCTATGTCACCTCAGTAGAGCTGTTCTGAAATAAAGGTATTCAAAAGTTATTTAAAGAGCAAAAGCAATTTAACCAATGATTTTGAGAAGCTAATCATTAAACGAGTTGGTACGGTGAGCCCAGTTCTTTCTGTTCTGAGTCCAGGCCCTTCCCTCAGGGATATCCATCAGTAAGGATTTTTCAAAGTAAAATTATTTTCATGTTGGTAAATGCATAGCTTCCATTGAGTAGTCAAAAAAATGGCCCTAAATCAGAGGTCTCCAACTGGTTTCATGGAAGACAATTTTTCCACAGGCTCGGGTCAAGGGGGATGGTTTCGGGATGATTCCAGTACTACATTTATTTTGTGCTTTATTTCTATTATTATTACATTGTGATATATAATGAAAGAATTGTTCAACTCACCATAATGCAGAATCAGATCATCAGGCATCAGATTCTCGCAAGGAGCACACAACCTAGGTCCCTCGAGTTCACAGTAGGGTGACCACTAATCTGAGAATCTAATGCCATTGCTGATCTGACAAGAGGCAGGGTGCAGGCAGTAAGGCGAGTAATGGGCAGCAGCTGTAAATACAGATGACACTTCGCTCACTAGCCTGCCGCTCACCTCCTGCTCTGCAGCCTGGCTCCTAACAGACTACAGACCAGTCCTGGTCCGCGGCCCGAGTGTTAAGGACCCAGGCCCTACATGACTACCCTGCTTACAAAAGTATTTCTTCTTTCAGTAGACAATTTCATAAACCCGTGACAACATCCCGAAGAAGGGCAACGGAGTGGCCACAGGACTGGATGAGGTCAGTTTTCATTCCAGTTCCAAAGAAAGGCAATGCCAAAGAATGTTCAAACTACTGTACAATTTCACTCATCTCACGTGCTAGCAAAGTAATGCTCAAAATTCTTTAAGCAAGGCTTCAACAGTGAACTTCCTGATGTTCAGGCTGGACTTAGACGAGGCAGAGGAAGCAGAGATCAAATTGCCAACATTGCTGGATCATCAAAAAAGCAAGAGAGTTCCAGGAAAACATCTACTTCTGCTTTATTGACTGTGCCAAAGCCTTTGACTGTGTGAATCACAACAAAATCTGGAAAATTCTTAAAGAGATAGGAATACCAGACCATCTGACCTGCCTTCTGAGAAATCAGTATGCAAGTCAAGAAGCAACTTTAGAACCAGACATGGAACAACAGACTGGTTCCAAATTGGAAAAGTATGTCAAACTGTATATTGTCACCCTTCTTATTTAACTTCTATGCAGAGTACATCATGTGAAATGCCAGGCTGGATAAAGCTAAAGCTGAAATCAAGATTGCCAGGAGAAATATCAATAACTTCAGATATGCAGATGACACCACCCTTGTGGCAGAAAGCAAAGAGGAACTAAAGAGCCTCTTGATGAAGGTGAAAGAGGAGAATGAAAAAGCTGGTTTCCAACTCAACACTCAAAAAACAAAGATCATGGCATCCAGTCTCATCACTTCGTGCAAATAGAGGAGGAAGCAATGGAAACAGTGATAGACTTTAATCCCTTGGGCTCCAAAATTACTCGGACTGTGACTGCAGCCATGAAATTAAAAGACACTTGCTCCTTGAAAGAAAAGCTATGACCAACCAGACAGCATATTAAAAAGCAGACACATTACTTTGCCAACAAAGGTCTGTATGACCAAAGCTATGGTTTTTCCAGTAGTCATGTACAGATATGAGAGTTAGGCCATAAAGAAAGCCGAGCACCAAAGAATTGGTGCTTTTGAACTGTGGTGTTGGTGAAGACTCTTGAGAGTCCCTTGGACTTCAAGGAGATCAAACCAGTCAACGCCAAAGGAAATCAATTGTGAATATTCATTAGAAGGACTGATGCTGAAGGTGAAGCTCCAATACTTTGGCCACCTGATGCAAAGAACTGACTCACTGGAAAAGACCCTGATGCTGGGAAAGATTGAAGGCAGGAGGAGAAAGGGACGACAGTGGATGAGATGGTTGGATGGCATCACCGACTCAATGGACATAGGTTTATGCAAACTCTGGGAGATGGTGAAGGACGGGGAAACCTGGCATGCTACAATCCATGGGGTCTCAAAGAGTTGGACACAAAGAGTTGTCACAAAGAGACATGACTAAGTGACTGAACAACAACAAGACAACACTCGTGTGGACACTTACCTTCCTTGATGCTTCCTGACCGCTGGGTGGGGAAGGCCGGGGGAGGGGGGATCTGTGCAATGAGTGGCTGCTGAGGCAGCTGCTGGATGATGGTGGCAGGAGGTGGGGGTGCCTGGAAGAGCCAGACAATCCATTATCTGAATGTGCCCTAGGAATAGTGACCTACAGCACCACCCACCACCTGCCATCCAGACATCCACCATCCATCCATCCATCCATGGGAGATTTTAGGCGAGAAACCCTAGAGATTAAACAAGTGTCCAATTAGATAAATACTTGCATCTGGGTATCACTTAGGACATAGCATGTTATGGACTGAATGTTTATTCCCCGCTCAAATTCACATGTTGAAACCCTAAGCTCCAAACTGACTGCATTTGGAGATGGGGCCTGTGAGGAGGTGATAAAGGTAAAGAGAGCATAAGGGTGGGGCTCTAGGTTGATAGGCCTGGTGCCCTTGGTAAGAGGAAGAGACACCAGACTCTCTCTGCCCCATGAGACACCACGAGAAGGCTGCCAATCCCTAGCCAGGAGGCCATGCTCAGGGAACCAGGTTGGCTGGCACCTCCATCCAAGACATCCAGCTTCCGGGCAGTAATAAGGGAAATGTCTGACATTTAAGCTCAAAGACTGTGGGGGTATTAATATTTTATAACGGAGCCCAAGCTGAGTGAAACATGGCGTGTCGTTTTCTAATGTTTCCCACATTTCCTGGTGTCAGTGGGCTAAGCTCATCCCTGCGTCCATTACTTCTGCTTTAATAGAGGCATCCAAGGAGCTCGGCATGGAAACACCCTCTGGCTTCACTCCTGAGTTAACACAAACGTACCACGGTTCAGAGCATGCACTTGGTGTTGATTCCCACTTAAATCCTCTTCTGAATGCACCGGGCCCTGCCCTGTCCCCTCTCCCTCGGTTCACAGAAAGGATGGCATAGACAGGGCTGGCAAACATCCTGCAAAGGGCCTGATGGGGTATTGTTCCCACTTTGTGGCCACACAGCTTCAGTTTTAAGTGTTCACCTCTGCCGCTGCAGTTGGAAGGCAGCCCCAGACTGGTAAGCCAACAGAGCTGATCCGGTGAAACTTCACTTAAGCACCCAGAGATGCGCGTTTCGTATCCTCTTTGTGTGTTACCAGACCCCTCGGCTAGCAGGTTGGGCACACACAGGTGGCAGGCAGCTTTGGCGTCGTCACAGCCCACCACCTGGAGCAGACTGGAGAGGCAGCCTGAGTGGCCAATGGCAACTCACCCCAGGGACTCTGGAAAACCCATCCCAACCACCCTGGATCCTGCTTGCTCTGTGGTGTCACCAGAGTCCAGGCTGAGACACCCAAGCACGACTGGGGTAAGGAGTTGCAGTAAATGTGAACACGCTGGGGACTGGGCAAGCCTCCTGCACCGACACCCCTCTCCCACCGTTCCTGGCAGAGGTTCCAGGGGCAGGAAATTGGGGAAGACACAGACAGTGCTGGGGCCAGGGCTCTGGGGGTTCCACTGGACAGACCCCTCTCCCTTCCCTCTGCACAGGCAGCCAGGGCCCCCCAGGGGATAAACGTCCTCCAGATCACGACCTGGCCCACCGGCACCATCGGTCTCCTTGGCCAGCCAATCCAGAACCTTCTCCGCTCAGCCTTGGCCACCTCCTGCCTTGTCATCTCCTCCTCGCAAGGCCACAGCCCTTGCCTGTCATCTACTCATGCTCTCAACCCCTGAGGCCACAGCCCGCCGGGACTAGCTGCTGCCCCTCCTTCCTCTGGGCACCACCTGCCCTGATACAATCCCTTCTGCTTAAGGAAGTATGGCTTTCTGTTGCCATATGCAGGGGTGAGCCTCTCAGGAGTGGGTGCACATTCACCTTTCAATGCACCTTAAAATTCTGCCTGGAGACTAGGGGCCCAAGCTTCCTCTGGTAATTAGGAAATTTTGGAAAGCAGCTGACACACTTCTTCCCCAAATTCAGGCCCAGCCAGTGCGGAATCCCCCCATACTTCCGCTCCTGCTGCAGAGGTTAGCACCTGGAGCTGAGCGGGGACCCCAGCCTCCACCTGTAATGAGGAGATAACCGCCCCTCCACACACAGCCAGTGCTTAGGGCACCTCTGAGGCCTGATGATACGGGACACATTTCTCCCAACAGGGCTGGACACAGGCAGCAGCCGCTGTGGCCACTGAGCAGATGGCCCCTTCAGCGCACTTCCCTAAACTGCTTAGGGTGCGAGTGTGGAGTGACCGACATCTCCGCTCAGGTGAGAGGTCTCTGGGTGCACGGTACCCTCCCCATTGTTCTGCCCCCCAGGTTCACCCAAGGCAGACGTACCAGGTGTTGGATGATCCGTGGTGGGTTTGGGGCAGGTGGGGCTGGGGGGACAGCGGGGTGGATGCCCACAGGAGGCGCCTCTGGGGGCAGCACAGACCCATGGGCTCCTCCATGCAGTTCCCTGTGATGACGAACCCGGGAAGCCTCTTCCAAGAGGCGCTGCTCCTGCAAAGCCAAAGCAGAGCCATGGCCGCTCGGTGGGGGTATGTCCCGGCCCTCACTCTGCCTGGCAGAACAGTGCCAGCACACAGGTGTGTGACCCCAGTCAGAAGCAGCGAGCCCCAGTACCACCAACCACTGCCCTGCGCCCGGCCCCCTCCTGCCCCCACCAGGGCCCAGCATGCATCTAAGCTGGGACTGCAGCCAGACTCTGGAGGCAAAGCCCTTCATGTGGTGCACACAGGAGAAATTAACCAAAGATGACTTTCTCCAGCCAGTAGTGAAAATGAAAGTTGCTCAGTCGTTTCTGACTCTTTGCGACCCCGTGGACTATACCGTCCAGGGAATTCTCCAGGCCAGAATACTGGAGTGGATAGCCTTTCCCTTCTCCAGGGGATCTTCCCAACCCAGGGATCAAATCCACGTCTCCCTCATCGCAGGCATATTCTTTACCAAGTGAGCCACAAGGGAAGCCCAAGAATACTGGAGTGGGTAGCCTATCTCTTTTCCAGTGGATCTTCCTGACCCAGGAATTGAACCGGGGTTTCTTTGCAGGCGGATTCTTTACCGACTTAGCTATGAGGGAAGCCGGTAGAGGATACTCTGTCTCTCCAGCACATTTCCAGTGCAGAGCAGTAAGTTTATCACAGCTGCTCTGTGGACCCAAACACCTTCCTCCCCCCATGTGTCATTCCCTGCAACAAGTGTGTCTGTTTGGACAAAGCCCTGGGCATCCTGGAATCCCACTTCCTGGAACCAGACCCTTCATGGGGCATGTCTGCTTCTGATCATATGCAGCCAGAGCAGGTTTTCTCAGCAAGTAGCCCCTGTGAGAGCCCAGCCTACAGGAAGCAGGTGAATTCTCTCTCCTGTGGAGTCCATGGTCCACTAGTTGTCCACCACCACCTCACAAACATCAGAAGCAGTGTGGGTGCAGGAACCCCACCACAACCCCACCCTCACCCCCATACCCTACCCCCCCACCCCACCCCAGTGCTTGTTCTGAGCGCCAGCCGCAGCTTCACTGCACAGAGCTCTGGTGAAGACGCCCCATGTCCACATGGCCTACCCAGAGTCTCTGCAGAAGGTCCTTCCTCATCCTCAGAGCGCTCCGCAGGGCGGCCTCTGGCCCATCCTCATCTCCTGGAGGGAAGCGCAGGCTTCAGGGCTCAGCACCATATCCCAGCCTTTCCTGCCTCCAGGACCTGCCTGTCCCAGAGGAGGAGGGAGGTGCCTGCGGGCGGAGCTCAGGAGCCACCCCATGGGGGTTGTGTGGGCAACAGTAGGGGGCGTTCAGGAAGCTGAGTCTTTGAGTTGGGGTCAGGAGTCTCCACTCCCCCCAGGAGTCCCCACTCCACACCCAGGAGTCCCCACTCCCCTCCAGTAGTCCCCATTCCACCCCCAAGAATCCTGACTCCCCCCCAGGAGCCCCCACTCCCCCCCAATGGAGTCGCAGAGTCGGACACGACTGAGCAACTGAGCGCAGCACATGCCTGTGCTTGCCCTTGGTCATGTGAACTGATTTGGGATTTCCTATCTGGATTTCAGCCCTGGGCTCTGTCTGTTGCCCTCAGGAACTGCCTGGAACTCCGCAGCACAAGGAGCTTCACCATGTGGTGAAGAGCAAGCAGTGTCTCCCCAGCACCTTGCCCAGATGTCCCTGAGCCCAGAACCCCAGCCAGGGAAGGTGGCCCTTCCCCTGGTTCCTGTGGCCTGAGCATCTGACCACCAGACAGGTTGGGGATGTGGAGACGTCTGGTCTGGGCACCTGAGGATGAGCGGTGGATGTGGATGGCTGGGCCCCATATACCCCCCACCCCAAAGCAAGCTCAGAGCAACATGGTCTGATGCAGGCAAGGGCGATTCTGATCTGAGCAAGGCAGTGGGGCTGGTCCCCTACCCTCTCTGCCTCCCTCTTCTCATCTGCAGATGGAGTGATGAACGTGCCCCCCTGGATGTGCAGACAGAAGTGATACGACATGAGGGTGCGTGTGTGTGTGCGTTTAAGACATAAACAAGGCCTTTCTGCTCTGAAAGTGATGTTTAGAGGACAGTCTGGCCATACCTGGAGGTGGGTCTGGGGCCCACACAGCGCCAAGCAGCCCAGGCTCTTACCTGGCACGACATGGGGGTCCTCAGAAGCCCCCTCCACATCCTCACGCTCTTGCTCCAGTTTCTGTGAGGAGACAGAGGGACGAGCATTGCGGGCTCCAGGCACAGGCTCCTCCGAATGAGGGGCCGGGCCAGGAACGAGTGCCCAGACGACTGACTGGTGCCAGGTGGGGCCCTGTGGTCACACTTTCCATATGACGCACACATGCTCCACCTTGAAACCTATGGGCCCCTTCAGGCAGCTTTCTGAAGAGTTTGACCAGGCCAGCCCTGTGTCCTGACTGCCCTGACGCCCCAGCTGAACCCAGGGCTGAGCAGTTATAATCCAGACCAGTCCTGGGGTGACCCCTGCTGCCCTCTCTGGGCAGCCCAGGAGGGCAGAAGGCACCCCCCCCTGCCAGGTCAGCCCTTGATGGATGACCCACCTGCTGGGTGGGGAGGGAGTGCATGTCCATGGGGCTGGTGTGGGGAGGGGATGAGCCCAGCAAGGGAGGGCAGGGCACCCTGTCGTTTCCAGTTCAGGTTCCCAAATGAGTCAGCCTGAAGAAGGAAGCCAACAGAGCAGACTTGAAGGTGGACCCAGTGCCAGCAGTCCTGGCTGGGGTGAGTGCCGTGTCATTATGCTTACAGCCCCGCTCAGAGCAGCCGACCCAGAAACTTGACCTGGCAGCCAAACTGCCCATACACTTCAGTATTTATGGCTTCATATGTTTCATGACCCTAAGATTCAAACAGGAGGTCTGAGGTACACAAAAATGAGTTAACTTAGCCAAGCAACTTGAGATGGCGGGAGGTCGCCATAACACATCCCAGTGGGTTTCAGTTTGTTAGTTTAAAAAACTTCTTTTTAGGTTTATAGAAAAATTGAGAAGAGAATTTCCATACACATGGGTTCCCTATTATTAACATCTTAAGTTAGTATGACACATTTGTTACAATGAATGAATCTATACCGATACAGTAGCATTAACTAAAGTCCATAATTCATTTGACTTCCATATTATGCTGCCTACTGTTCCTTTCCTGTTCCAGGATCCTATCCAGGACACCATATGACATTTAGTCACCATGTCCTCTTGGGTTCCCCTTGCTTTTGATGATGTTGCTAGTTTTGAGGAATACTATTTTGATCCAGTGCCACCTGCCAATGCAGCAGACTCAGGAGATGTGGCTTTGATCCTTGGGTCAGAGAGACCCCCTGGAGTAGGAAATGGCAACCCACTCCACTATTCTTGCCTGGGAAATCCCATAGACAGAGGATCCTGGCGGGTTACAGTCCATGGAGCCACAAGGAGTTGGATGCGACTGAGCGCATGACTACAGTATTTTCTATTATGGTATACTGTACCAGTATCTACTATATCTGGAATCTTTGCAAGGGGTCTCTCCACTATTGGGATTTGTTTGATAATTTCTCATGACTGCACTGGGGTCACGGTTGTTGGGAGGAAGACCACACAGGAGAGAGCCTCTTGTAACGACATTCCATCCAAAGTGCATGCATCAACATGACCCACACAGATGATGTCGACCTCAGTTACGTGGTACAAGTGTGTCTGTCAGGTGTCCCACTGCACAGGTACTATTTTTCTCTTTCTTTCCACACTGTCCTCTGCAGGACGAAGTAGCTATGCACAGCCCATTCATAAGGAGTGGGGGTTATGTTTCCCTCCATGAGGGTGTATATCTACATATTTGGACAGTTTTTCAATTGTTAAAAATAAACTAAAATTCAGATCCAATATTTACAGAACATCTAGAAGAGCCATGGAAAGGATTCTGGGGCTCTTAGGAACACAGTTTGAGAATCACTGGCCAAGGCAGCATGGGCATGATGCACATACTGTGGTTTGCTGTTGTTCAGTTGCTAAGTCGTGTCCAACTCTTTGAGACCCCATGGACTGCAGCACACCAGGCTCCCCTGGTCTTCACCATCTCCCAGAGCTTGCTCATATTCATGTCCATTGAGTCGATGATGCTATCTAACCATCTCATCCTCTGCTGCTCTCTTTTCCTTTTGCCTTCAATCTTTGCCAGCATCAGGGTCTTTTCCAATGAGTTGGCTCTTTGTATCACGTGGCCAAAGTATTAGAGCTTTAACTTCAGCATCAGTCCTTCCAATGGACATTCAGGGGTTGATTTCCTTTAGGATTGACTGGTTGGATCTCCTTGCAGTCCAAGGGACTGTCAAGTCTTCTCCAGCACCACAGTTCAAAAGCATCAGTTCTTTGGTGCTCAGCCTTCTTTATGGCCCAACTCTCACAAGTGCACATGAAAACGGGATAAACCATACCTTTGACTATACAGACCTTTGTTGGCAAAGTGACGCCTCTGCTTTTAATATGCTGTCTAGGTTTGTCATAGCTTTTCTTCCATGGAGCAAGCGCCTTTTAATTTCATGGCTGCAGTCGCCATCTGCAGTGAGTTTCAAGTCCAAGAAAACAAAACCTGTCACTGTTTCCACCTCTTACCCTTCTATTTGCCATGAAGTGATGGGACTCGATGCCATGATCTTAGTGCTTTCGTGTTGAGTTTCAAGCCAGCTTTTAAACTATCTCAACTTCATTAAGAGGCTCTTTAGTTCCTCTTCATTTTCTATCAGAGTTGAATCATCTGCAAATCTGAGGTTGTTGCTATTTCTCCTGACAATCTTGATTCTAGCTGTGATTCATCCAGCCCAGCATTTTGCATGATGTACTCTGCATGTAAGTTAAGTAAGTAGGGTGACAATATACAGCCTTAACATACTCCTTTCCCAATTTGGAACCATGGTCTGTTGTTCCATGTCTGGTTCCAACTGTTGCTTCTTGACCTGCATACAGGTTTCTGTGATCTGGTATTCCCATCTGTTTAAGAATTTTCCACAATTTGTTGTGATCCACTGGTCAAAGGCTTTAGCATAGTCAATGAAGCAGTAGATGTTTTGATGAATCCACTTGCTTTTTCTGTGATCCAACGAATGTTGTCAATTTGATCTCTGGTTCTTCTGCCTTTTCTTTTTTTCCTTTGCCTTTTATACATCCATTTCCTTCTGCAGGGATCTTCTCAACCCAGGGATTGAACCCGTGTTTCCTGTGTCTCTTGCATTGCAGGGGGATTCTTTATTCCTTGAGCCGTTGGGGAAGCTGTACATGAATGGTCCTCTGCCTTTTCTAAATCCAGCTTGAATCTCTCTAAGTTCTCAGTTCACATACTCGGTTCAAAGCCTAACATGAAGGATTTTGAACATCACCTTGTAAGCTTGTGAAATGAGCACAATTGTCCAGAAGCTTGAACATTCTTTGGCATTGCTTTCTTTTGGATTGGAATGAAAACTGACCTTTTCCAGTCCTGTGGTCACTGCTGAGTTTTCCAAATTTGCTTACATATTGAGTGTAGCACTTTGACATCATTGTCTTTTAAGATTTGAAATAGCTCAGCTGGAATTTCCTCACCTCCACTAGCTTTGTTTGTAGTAATGCTTCCTAAGGCCTATTTGACTTCATGTTCCAGGATGTCTGGCTCTAGGTGGGTGACCACATCATGGTGGTTATCCAGGTCATTAAGAGCTTTTTTGTATAGTTCTGTGTATTCTTGACACTTCTTAGCTTCTCTGCTTCTGTTAGGTCCTTACTTTGTGTGTTTTACGGTGCCAATCCTTGCATGAAATGTTCCCTGGTACCTCCAATTTTCTTGAAGAGATATGCAGTCTTTCCCATTCTATTGTCTTCCTCTACTTCTTTGCATTGTTCATTGAAGAAGACCTTTTCATCTCTCCTATTCTCTGACACTCTGCATTCAGTTGGGTATATCTTTCCCTTTCTTCCTTGCCTTTCACTTCTCTTCTTTGCTTGGCTATTTGTAAAACCTCCTCAGACAACCACTTTGCCTTCTTGCGTTTTTCTCTGGGATGGATTTTGTGATCACCTCTGCTACAATGTTACAAACCTCCCTCCATAGTTCTTCAGGCACTCTGTCTACCATATCTAATCCCTTGAATTCTATTTGTCACCTCCACTGTATGATCATAGGGATTTGATTATGTCATGCCTCAATGGCCTAGTGATTTTCTCTATTTTCTTCAATTTAAGCCTGAATTCTGCAAAATGAACTGATGATCTGAGCCACAATCAGCTCCAGGTCTTGTTTTTGCTGACTGTACAGAGCTTCTCCATCTTTGACTGCAAGGAAGATAATCAATCTGATGTATTGCAACATGTAGAGATTGAGAGATTCAGGTGTGGATCTGAGTCCCTGAATGCTCTTGGGAAATCTGATCCTGTGGTCTGCTAGTGTAACCTGCTGACCCCTTAGGAGTCAGCCTTAGGAGTCCAGTGCCTCATGTCTGTGAGCCAAGACTGGAAACTCCACTCACCACACAGAGAGGGCTGTGGTCTGACTCAGGAGGTGGTTGAGTATCCAAGGCTCCCTGAGGATTTGTGAGTTGTGGTTAAAAGGTAAGCTCATGTCAGCAAAGAGTCCCGGCAGCATACCAGTGGAGGAGCATAGCTATTGTCATTCAGTCTGAGAGAGCAGCTGGGGAGCACACAGCCTGTACACACACCCTGCTCCAGTGAAGGAAACCCAGAGACCAGTGTGTTTGCTGGACATGCCTGCAGTCACCCATCCCAATCTCCTCTGACGTGCCACCTTCTCTCTAGTTGTTGCACTGTCTTCCTACTCACATAGGGAAATCAGAGAGGCAGAGCTGCTTAGGGGTTTCCTGTGTCTCTTCCTGAGTTCCTGAGTTTGTGGGAACATTCACCCAGGTACAGTTAAACTACAGTTACCAGAGGTGCAGATCACATGCTTTGGATCAGTGTTAATTAGTCAGAGCATATCAGCTCCCAATAACCTTAGTTACTGTAACAGCATTTGATTGTTAATCAAAACCGTGGGCTAGGAATAAAAACCCAGCATTGTTTCCTCATCTGGACAAACAGGTTCAAGTGGAGTCTGAAGCTAAGAAACAAACAATGGTTTCATGAGACTCCAGTTGACACACAGATCATGAATTCATAACCCACATCACATTCCTTTTCTTAAAAAAAATTTTTTTTAATAAGACTATCTTTTGGAGCAGTTTTAGGTTCACAGAAACTTGAATGAGAAGTACAGCATATTCCTTTTTAATAACCATTTACAAAGTATTTGGAATGATTTACGCTTTTATCCAAACATTTCCAGGTCTTAAAACTTTTCTGTGTAAGAATAGACTTTCTGCCTTTCACTGAAACAGCTCTCTCCCTCTGGTGATCTAGAACTAGGTACAATTGCTGTAACATTTTTAATTGCATCTTTGCAGGCCCCTTGGAGAAGGAAATGGCAATCCACTCCAGTATTCTTGCCTGGAAAATTCCATGAATAGAGAAGCCTGGTGGGCTACAGTCTATGGGGTCGCAGAGTTGGACACAACTTAGCAACTAAACAAGGCCCCTTAGCAAGGAGGCCCTATGAACCCTTTTCACGCTGGGTT